GTGCGACTTGGAAGCGCGTCCCTTGTGGCCTGCACTTTTGTATCTGCATTTTATATCAGCCCTCGAGGATCTTGATGTCAGCGAATGTTTTTTCGTCCCTGGTCCACGTGCCGCTAAAAGGTTTGGTGGACATAAAAACGTAAATGCGCAAGATAGATATAAATTATTTTCAAAAAGTGGCATGACTGATATTTTTAATTGAAATACGTAAAAAAACGCATGCTATGGAAAAAATTTATTAACAGGTTTAAAGCTTCTAAATTATTTACATGGTTCTTCAATGATATACTAGCAATACAAATTTAATAGTTTATTATTTTTAAATTGTAATTATTAAATTAATAATAAATTAAATTAAATTTTAAATGATGTAAAAAAAATTAGTATTACCTTATTTTTTTTACATTGAATTGATGTACGATTTTGTGTATTTAAATGTATTAAACAGAGAATAAATAAATTAGTAAAAAAGTAAAACGAAAATGACAATTTTATTATCTTACTAATTACTAAGAGTAATAATATTCATTATTTGCTCAGCTTATTTCCCTCTTTTCTTACGGGATTAAATTTATTTCATAAAAATCAATAAAAACGAAGTGCACTGATAGATCTATAATAATTCCTGTTGCTTTTATCACAATAACTATTTTGTGAACCGCGTTTACTGGGTTTCCGGTTCTTCACAAAGATATCGCGTTCATTTAGTTAATTATAGTACACATTTTGTAATTATTTGAGCAGTTTTAAAATAGATGGAGTTTAAGCGACTAAAAAATATTTTATATAATGAGAGAAAGAAAAATAAAAATTTTAATCGTTTGGCGATTTTCATGAATTAATGAGTCAATTTTATTTTTGGGGCAGACTTTTCCTGAAATTAAAGTAATGTAAATTTAGTCCATATTATATTTGAATTAGATTTATCAACTCAATTATCATTATTGGGTGCTCAAAACCCCGAGTATCTATTCTCGCAAGACCATTAAAAAAAATTATGACTGGAAATTTAACAAGATAAACAATAAGTTTCATCTTGTTCTATTAATAGCATTGCTTGTCTGAATTTGACGATAGAGAAACAAGGCGGTGAAGACGGGCGGCTGATTTTTTTAGGCATAAGCACAAATGAAGAGGAAAAACAAGAACATGCCTCTGCGGTTTTTCATTTCCAGGGTCTGTGACAAAGGAGTCGACGAAACAAAAGCGAGTGGAAATAATTACTTTCCTGCCATCAAAAGTTTTCTCGCGACATCGTTTTGCAGCAAATTATGCCCGGTTGTGTTTCTCTTGCGTTTCACTGTAGCTAATTGTCCGCCAGACCGACTTTGAGATGTTTACGTTTGCTCGGAGGCGATGATAAGAGACTTCGTTTAATTGAAAATTTTGTGAGAAGCGACGCCGGTCTGCACTTTGCGCGAAATTAATGTTCTGAGGGGCTGTCACCGAGACCAAGGATTCATTTAATTTCAAAGAAGGGCCAATAGAAAGAGCACCGTATTTTTCCCCGGATCTTTTGTGTCCGGAAAAGCCACGGGAGAACAATGCGTGCGGTGGCTTATTCGGTCGCTGCGCCTCACAATGGGCAAAATCGAGTTTGGCCAGGCCGAAAGTGGCTACCTGAGGTGGGTCGAGTGACCCTCCACCTGATGTATGGTTAGATTCGCCGCCGCAGTGCAGAAAGGAGAGGCCTACTTTTATTTTTACATGTGGCGCGCACAAAAGAGAGGAGCCGCCGCGCCTGATTTGAACAGAAAAATTAATTCTTTTGTTGGGCTGCGATGAAAGGGGGTGGATTAAAAGAACCCTCTTGTTTGAGCCGCCTTTGAAGAGCAATCAGTGTTGCGGTGGTGCAGTCACATTTTCCCTTGCCAAGAAGTTCTCTCAAACAGAAACCATTCAATATCTTAATTTAAGAAAACTTTAATCAACGATCTATGTATAAAAAAATTGTATTTTGTTAGCTTTTCAGTTTTTACAGGATAATTTATTACCTATACTTTTCTCAAAAAGTTTTGTACATGAGCTCTTGGTTCTTTGTTTATCAGGTGATCTGATATAAAAAATTAAAATTTCAACAAAGCTGAGAGCAAGTTTTCCGCCAAAATTTATGTGTTGTTTCATTTAATGTTGAATAATTTAGAAAACTCCATATGAATGAACAATGGTAATGGTCAACACTATTACGAAATAAAATTTTTTTTTTTTTTTGTAATTAAAAATTGGAAAAATCTAGTCTAAATTGTTGCCTATATATTGAAACCACTAGTTCCAATAAGAGCTACAGCAATAACAATAACACCCCTTCTATTTTCTTTGGCCTTTCTAAAAAAATTCATTAACATGTAAAGTCAGCTTTTTCGTATAGGGTTGATTAAATTTTCACAGGCAAGATGGCTCCTCCTAGCTCCATAACCATTCGCGTGTGCCGTCTGAAGATAAAATCGAAGCAGATTACCGGCAGTGCGCGTGGTTTAATTAGAAAATAAATAGAGCGTGTAAAATCTGAAAGGAAAAAAACGCTCCAGCTTTTTTCGTTGGGTTTTCCACGAGCGCTTTATTATGCGCTGTAATTGCAGTCCCTGCAGAATTTTGCTTGCTTCTCAAGTGCATAATTAAAGTTGAGTTGGTTATGCAGCCCGCGTCGACAGCACGGCAAGCAGGTTGCCTATGTTTACCGCACTCAAATGCGAGTTCAACGGTAAATTCAGTGTTGTTAAGATTTTACAGCAATTAAAGAGTGAACGAGAAATTTCCTGCAAAATACGATGCTATAGCTGAATTTCATATTAAGGTTAACTAAGGGTGAAAGACTCAAATTCACATTTTAAAAATTATGTAAATTTAGCTAAAGAATCTTGGTTGAAAAAAAATGTAATCTTTCAGTTGAATTTTAAAAACTACTGCCTGAATTTTTAATATTAAATATGCTCCAAATTTCCATTTCAAGTGCCACGAGAGCAATATTTGAAGCAGGAAAAACGTTTGACAAAAAATATAGCCATGATTTGAAACCCAATCTCAGATCCTTAGGCATCGAGAATTTCTCGTTCTGAGAAAATTCGTTTGACATTGGCTGTAGAAAACATTTCATGCACCATTAGTCAATATCTTTTCCAAATTTTTGCTGCTTATATTTTGTAAACAACCAAATTGATGCTTCAAATATCAGCTCTTATGGAACGGTGCGTCTCTGCCGTATACTCTCCGGCGATGAGATGCAGCAACCCACGACCCGCTCGTTTTAATTAAAGGGGACTGTCAGTTGTTTACCTTGAATATTGGCTTGATGGAATTAACATGAGATCACGTCGTCGTCTTGTCGGAACGGGGGCGTCTTCAGCCTCACCACGGCGCACATCTAACGCTGGATAAAGTTCTTTTAACTCCTCCCAAGGGCTCGTTTCGCGTGCGAGAGGGGGGCGAGCTTGTAATTTGACATCGCCTGTTTACTGATCGCAATTGATTTCCTCGCTAAAGTTACCCACCTTGGACCACTAACGCTTCTCAAACAACTTAAGAAATTGATAGGGATGCGCGTATTATTCAAGTTAAAATGGATCAAAATTCAGCAAGGCTGAAGACCTATTAAACTTTCCACCATTCCCCGCAGTAAATCGATTACCAATTTAAAAATTAATTTAATTAAATTTAATAAACCTAACGCTAAACCCAGAGATTTCTTTAACCGAATTGTCAAAGTAAAACCAAATTGATTTTGAGAAACATATTTTTAAGAAAGCTTATATATCATTCCCTCTGAGCCAAAGAAATTTAATATTTTATGACAAATATGGAATATTTGAGAGAGGAAATCTCGAGTGTTTCGTTATGAGAAATTGTTCCATAGCTACTAAAAAAACATGATAAATCGTCTTTTGTAGAATATGTATTTCTCTCCCGGAAAAATCTCCTCTGGAAAGAACGCTTTTTTTGCGTATTGTGTGCTTTTTATGCTCAATAGTCTGGCTCAAAAGAGATTGACTTTTGATATCCTCGTTGGCGGCGGTTTCAATAAAAATGAGATAGGGTTGCACGCAGAGTGCGGGGCAAACAATCCTTTTCCGACAGAGCCAACTATAAAATCAGTAATGGTCGCGCAAAACAATGAAATTGCCTTTTGTCCAACGCACGCTGTTCATCCGAGGCCGTTTTTAAACGCATTTTGTTTGTTCCGACTCTGGTGTGCTGCATTTGTGGCAAAACTTTTGCACCCACTTTTATGACGCGCTTGCATTCGCCGAATGACCCAGACATACACAGCAGCAGCAAACTTTTACGACTGTGAGACGGATTGAGGGCACGCCGCGAAAAGTTTCTGCAAAACTTTTAATTCGGCCAAAATTGGCACCATCATTGAGCGAGAAATGCGACGTGACCAAGCAAAACACAGCCGAAAAGGGCAATTACAATTAGATTATTTGCCAATTACGCTTTTGTTCATTTTTGCTTGATAAGAGTTTATTTATCTTTATTTTTGTCCAAAGAAAAAAATTGCAAGCGCTATCTAAAATTTGTGATTCTTTAATTTATGCACGTAGCTGATATTAATTTGCGTGACAGATAAAAATTAGCAGCCGATAACACAGCGGCTTGTTTGGACTTTGCAGTTTATGCAATGTGCCATTTTCAAAAATTATCATATCAATCGTAAACTTCATTGTGAAAACAAGAAACAAGTCACAGTTCTGTTATCGGTTTGCTAAATATTTAGATCAAAAGTACATATGACTCTAAAGTAAAAAAAAATATATATATAGTGTTATTCACATGCTGGGATTTTCGTTACTAATTATTTGTTATTATTAGTATTAAATTGAAATGTCACGATTTTGATGGTTTAATTTGAAATACGGTTTCTCCTTGATATTGTGTTAAAGTCTATTGTTTCGAAGAAAAGAAATTTTGTGGCTATTAACGCGGCATATATTATGTTTATTATTTGAAATATTTTCAAAAAATTTCAAAATCCTTAGAAAATAACGATTGTGAATACTTACTCAGCATTGCCTTAAGGTTGATTTCGCATTCCGTATGGGTGGCGAAGGTGAAAGGTGGCAGGTCTCCAGGGCAGACGGAGGCGCTTCCGCAGTGACAGCTGGTCTCAACCACGTTGCACCCGTGCTGCTCGTGAGCCTGCCTGCCACAGTCGGCTTTATCACTCGCTGGGGGCCCTGAAACAGGCAGGAAGATCTGTCAGTCAAGACGTCCACGCCGCAAGATTGTAATGTAATGCCCAGAGGAGGATCGTTCCAGAGACCCGCGATTTTTTTAACCATAAAAATCACCTCCATGTCTTTTCTCCTTTTTTTTCCCCAATCGATCATTGAATGAAAGAACAGAAAAACGAGGTTAAAAAATTATTTGATGAATGGGGGAAATATTGAGCATTATTATTATAGACTTTTGTAAGACGTTTTTGGACCTTTATTTCGTTGCTGAATGGACCAATTTGTCATTAACCAACCATCAGCCTGGAACGAACAAGGCAAAGAATGGAAGTTTGCTGAAACTCAATTACACCATCCGTCTTACCCATTAAGGCAGCTTTTTACATCCGAACTTGCTGCCGCCTGAAAAGCTAATTTGATCCATAAATTTCCTCTCCGATTTATGGGTATTTTAAGAGCACAAAACGCTATTTTAATGAGAATTCGTTCTTATAAAGCATAGTCGCCAGAAGCTTCTTTTCCAGTCTCTATAGCAATAACCCGCTTCCTTGCGCTGTAATGGCACTCAAACAACTTTACCTTATTATTCCTCCTGCCTCCAAGGGGCAAAAATTTTTGCAAATTTTGCTTTTCTAATAATGGCGATATTGCACACCTCTCTACCTTCTGCCTTTTTTATTAGAACATAATGTTTGAGAATTTATTGTTAAGTTGAGGCCCTTCTCAAATTTTAAACGGCCTAATTATTTTTTAATGCGTTTTCAGGAAAGCTTTTTCCAGCTTTTTCTCCATTTTGAGATTCATCTGGTATAATAAATTCCACTCCTTTGTTCCTTTGTTCGTTATTTTAACTTGAGAAATATTTCACCGTGATGGCTCTTTTATTTGCAAAATTCATTCGCTGATTTTTGGAACGATCACAACCAATTTGCACATTAACAAAAATCTATGCATATATAACCATATTTCTTCAATTTCTTTCTTTTTTGCTTATATCAGATAATCCAATTACCCTCTTTTTACTTTCCGCCCAGCAGTGAGAGTTTAAGAAGAATTTCCTTTTTTTTTTTTTTTTTTCAAAGTAACCCAGCCTGTTCTTTTTTACCTTCTCATCAATTTAATGTAAAAAATAACCAAATTAAGTAAGTAGGTCTCTACTTTAACACCCACAAAAAATTCATAAGCATAATATATCTTTGATTAATAGGTTAGTTTTTATAAATTCAAAGAATAATTGTGTAACTAGTAAAATACGGCCAAGATGGAGAAAATCAATTCATAAGCGTGTAAAATGCAAGTGTTTGTCCGCTTACGACTTAATTTTCCCGTTTCATGAGCGAAACGCAGGAATTATCACCAGCTGGCCGGATCAAAAGTAATTAAAACACCTATTCATTAATAGCACTCGGTGAGAGTGAGGCGAAGCTGCGTGCGTGTGTGGGCAGAGATGGGGCTCTCGGCGTCGCTTTGCTGGTTCATTAACCCTTTTGTCAGAATGGCTTTTAAACGGCGGGGCTCGTTTGTCGACGCGCTAGCTGCTTTTATTAGGCGAACGCCGTTTCGAGATTTAACCGACCTTACAGGGTTTGTTGCAGTGTCGGCGCGCGCAAAACAAAACTGAGCACCGGAAATTAATTTTCGACTCAAATATTTGCAATTACCCCGCGTCGGGGCAAAACAACGAGAGAGCCCTTGAAGGTGGCTTGTCGCAGCCGGCAGGAAACGACGATTAATTAATCTAATTTCACGCGCAACTTGCTATAGGCTAGTTGAGCAAATAAAAGCGCCTGTGCTGCTGTCAGTCCACCCGATCTAGTCTGATGATCTGGCCAAACGAAAAAGTTGTCAACTTTGCATGATATGTAAAAGAAAAAATTCATATACATTTCCTTTTTTACTTACTTTTTACGTAAAATTTTGCAATATTTTTAACATTCCTTTTTTTTTGAGCTGTGTCACAAGCAGCGAAAATCGATGAATTTTAAACTATCAATTTGGCCTCAAACTATTATAAAATTATTTTCACTATTATTTTATTAACGTCATATTTCACACAAAAATCAAGAAAATGCAAGCTATGCGTTCTAGATATATTTATTGGGTTTCATATAGCGCAGGGTAACTTTCTGCAACTAGGGAATCTGTCCAATGACAAGATCAAGTGCAACAAGAGTATCTGAACCGCGAGCGTCGAAAACAATCTTGACGTTGAAAGTTTCCGAGTCCTCTGCACTCAAAATGTCATAAATCTTCTGCAGGTCTGAGTAAATAAGGACGACTTCTGGACCATCCTGATAATATAAAATGTTTTATGAAAACACTCTTAATTTTCAATTAACTTTTAAACCTGGCCGTTGACAGCATTGTCGATGGCTGTTTTAGCCTCTCCTGTGCGGAGATAAACAGAATCCCACAGCGCATTGTAAGCCAGATCATGGTTTGCAATTTCAGCCCTGAGCAAATTAGTAGTGCTAGGGACCTGGTTCAGGTCAACGTCAAGTTGATCGTTGATCCTTGAAAGGGTGGTGCGTAACTGTTGAGCCAAAATTTGTCTCTGGTCTCGTGAGTTGGTATTATATTCATCTCTGAAAGCTCTGAATGCTTGGCGCACTGGCGCGATAGCTGCCTGGTTGGCCTATTGAATTTTTATCATAAAAAAGTGCATGGATTTAAACATACAACTCACGATGAGAGCAAGGTTAGCAAAGATATTTTGAGCCAAGTCTTCGATAGGCAGATTAAGTGAAACGTCCAGAACATTTAGTTGGTTGAGCATATTGACCACCTGGAGGTCGAAAATACCAACTTTGAGCTTGGCATCGCTGATATCAGCAGCCAAATCCTTTCCCAAAGGCACGGCCTAAGATAAATTTTGAATAATTATTGAGCTGCAAAATTAATTATATCCGCATTTCTTTTCCTTTTTCCAATTTTTGAAAGGTTTTGAATTAACCGAGAAAAATAAATATATTAAGATAAAATAAAAATTCTTACATGAGTTAGAGCCGCAAAGATAGCGAAAAGAGCTAGTTTGGTTGCCATTGTGTCAAAGACTGATAGCATCAATGTCTGGGAACGTGAACAAATATTTGTTGAAAGAGCCTAATCTCTTTGAAATACAGATTTCTGAAGGCCATTTAAGGTACTTAGGGCGTTGATTACATAGAGGTACGGAGTGGCCCCTTATAATAGTATGTTGATAGCAGAAGAAGTTTAATTTGGCCAGTCCGTCTCTTTAATCACAGACTTTAAAAGTCTGTCTGCAAGATAGAAAAAAAAATAGATTAAAATCTGACAAACATGTTTTTGTTTCAAAGGTTGATTGATGAATAGGACCAGCAGATAAGAGGCTTGTCGGTCTTTATAAAACGAAAACACTTGTTCTTGAGCTGATTTTAGGATTCTCATTATCCAAAATGAAGCTGCTGGCAGTGCTTGCGTGTCTCGTTTCAGCGTCCTTGGGCCTCTTTGTCTTGAGGGACCTCGCAGCTGACATCGCTAGTGCAGAGAGGGCAGTCAACCTTTTCAACACTCAGGTCGAATCGTTATTGAACAGAATTTCCACCCTTGAAAGCGAGCTCAACAATGATGTCACCAACACTTGCACAACCATTCTGAGCAATCTTGCTCAAATTAATGTACTAAACGATATGTGTATTTATTACAGAAGAAACTATTTTTAAATTATTTAAACAGGTCACTAATTATGACGAGATTGAAAACTTGCTGGGCAGCAGTAAGAACCAGTCGGACGTAGCAATCAGTGGATTGAAATTCAATCTGGAGCAAACCATCCTGTTACTTCAAATTATAAACGGCAACCTTGCTAACGACCTTCCATCTTTGGGCGCCAACGTCGAATCTTTGAAAGCGTACATCTCAACTGGAGACTCAATTTACAGCTCACTTTTTGCACAACTGCAAGATTCTACTGTCACAATTGAACAGGCAATCACAGCTGGAGTGGGTGACCTGGTACGTCTGATACTTATATTGCATTTATGAAAATTTTTTAATTCACTAAAATAAACATTTATAATCACGAAACCTGAAATTTTACAGCAAGGTCCAGAAGTGACTACAATTTTCGTTAGATGGACACACGTAAAAGATGTCATTCTGAACCAGCGGGTCCTCACCGACAATGTCAAACTCGTTTATGACACCAGAGGTGAAAACGCTGTGAATGCCCTCGATATTGTTGTAGCACAAGTGCCACAATAAAAAATGGGTTTTTAATTCAATCACATGAGAGAAATTTTATTCTTGTTCCTATCACATCCCTAGTTAATTAATGTTTCTTCAGCTCTATTGATTTAGTTAGAAAGCAGAGCAATGAATTTTCAATTTCTGTATATTTTTCATTTGTGAAATAAGTTAAGCGTCCACATCAAATCCCGTTCTCAAAACCAATAAGTAGCAATTTAGTTTACCAGCAACTTTTTTATATGATGATAGTTGTAGTAAATAAAAACGCTTATTATATCAGTCTGTGTGCTCTCTGGAGATCTGGCCAAACGGACAGGTTGTTTTATTGTTTTAAAAGGTACAATTTGCATAGAGCATTGCAGTCAAAATGCAAAATTATTTTGAATTTACGTATTTTGGCCACCAATTTGCGTTATCAGTTAAGCTGTTTATATATTGAAAATTCTTAATTTTTTTTTCAATTTGTACATTGCAATTAGTGGTGGTTGTGTCACCAGCAGTGAAAATCAATTAAATAAAACTAATACTTTGGCTGAGAAAATTTTATTTATTTATAATTTTTTTTAACTAATGTGACTGTAAATTTTTTTTAAATTGATCTTTAAAGTTAAAAATTCATTTTGTTGACGTAATGGAATATTTTATAAAAAAATCAAAGAAATGTAAGATATAGTATGAAGAACTGTTTATTGCGTTTAAAACTTTCAGCAACTAGGGAATCTGTCCAATGACAAGATCAAGTGCAGCAAGAGTATCTGAACCGCGAGCGTCAAAAACGATCTTGACGTTGAAAGTTTCCGAGTCCTCTGCACTCAAAATGTCATAAATCTTCTGCAGGTCTGAGTAAATAAGGACGACTTCTGGACCATCCTGATAATATAAAATGATTTAAGAAAACACTCTTAATTTTCGATTAAATTATATACCTGGCCGTTGACAGCGTTGTCGATGGCTGTTTTAGCCTCTCCTGTGCGGAGATAAACAGAATCCCACAGCGCATTGTAGACTCCATCATGGTCTGCAATTTCAGCCCTGAGCAAATTAGTAGTGCTAGGGACCTGGTTCAGATCAATGTCAAGTTGATCATTGATCCTTGAGAGGGTGGTGCGTAGCCGTTGAGCCAAAAGCTGCCTCTGGTCTTGTGAGTTTCCATCATATTCATCTCTGAATACTTTGAATGCTTCACGCACTGGCGCAATAGCTGTCTGGTCAGCCTATTGAGTTTATGACCATCACAAAAGTGAATAAAAAAATACCAGAACTTACAATAAGAGCGAGGTTAGCATAGATATTTTGAGCTAAGTCTTCGACAGGCAGGGCAAGCGACACATCCAAAATATTTAAGCGGTTGAGCATTTCAACCACCTGGAGATCGAAAACTCCAATTTTGAGCTTGGCATCGCTGATGTCAGTAGCCAAATCCCTTGCCAAAGGTATGGCCTGCGTTAAATATAAAATAAATATAGAGCTGAACGTTTTGCTTCAAGCTAATTTAATAAAAATTATTAAATTCTTACATGAGTAAGAGCCGCGAAGATAGCAAGAAGAGCTAGTTTCGTTGCCATTTTGTCAAAGACTGATTGCATCAATGTCTGGGGACGTGAAAAAATACTTGTTTGAAGTGTCTAATCTCTTTGATAAAGATTTCATGGGTCCGTTCAAGGTACTCCAGCATAGATGAAATGATTACGCAGAGGTACGGACTGGGTCCTTCTGTGCAAGCGTGCCTGGGTAAGATCGCTCTTTTCCAAAGATATGCTGTAATGCTGAATATCTTTATTTATACAACAAAAATCCTTATGAATCCAACTTTCAGGTCACACTTCGTTGGGAGCACGCAATGCATCTCGCCATTTAATTAAATTGGTATACCTAGTTGTGTTAAACAAATGCCAATGAAGCAAACGGAAAACTAATCTATTGCTTTCTTATATTTCAAATCACTTTGCATCTCAAGATTAAGTAGATTTGTTTAATGGCTTTTATCAAAAACTTTGCACAAAACTCTGAAAGAAGCGAGCTATAAACAGCGATATTACGGTAGTCCCAAGTGCACATCCTAATACTGACTGCACTGACCTCATCTTTGGTGGTATCAATAAGATGACGATGTTCATAAATTATTGAACTTATTACTCTATAATTAAGACTTCATTTGAAATGATTAAGCATATATCTAGTAAATTTCATTCATTAATAATTTAATACATTTATTTATTTATTACTAACCATATTGAACTATGCATGCAAGTGACACAAAGTGACCAATGTTTTTGTCAGCTGGACACATGTAACAGATGTAGTTCTAAACCAGCAGCGATCCTCACCTTGATGTCACCTGGGGAAATCGCTGTGAATATCCTTGTTAATTTCGTTGAACAAGTGCCACAATAAAAGTTTCAATTCACACAAACAAAATGTTGTGATTTTTTCAATTGAGAATTTCTGATCAACTTTCCTATCACATATAAAGCTAATAAAATGCCATCTATTGATTCTATTGAGCCTTCGGCTCCATTGGTTTAATTGAAAAAGCAGAGTTATTGATATTAAATGTCGGTATATTGGGCCGATGAAATAAGTTAAGCGCCCACATCCCATGGCGTTCTCAATACCAATATAGAAATTTAGTGATGATGGGAATAAAGCCCAACGGAGAAGCCTCCAATCTCAATTATTGGACCCTCGGAAAGTGTCTGCTTTTTATCACGGGGAGAGATATTAGCAGGATTATTTTCGCAGAGAGCGCGGCACCATGCGAGGTTCGAACAAATGACGTCGCCCTCGCAGGTCGGTTTTCACCCCTATTACGAAAGCCTATTTTATCTACTGGCGGCCACGCAGAGGCAGAGGGAGGAAGCACACAATAATAATAAATCCGGACAGCAGCGGCTTCGGAGCCAGATGGAGAAGGAAAGGCCGCCCCGTGTGTGCAGTAAGACATATACCTTTCTGCCGAAATATTCGCCGCAATATGGTGGGCGCACACACACTGATACATACACGCGCTTTATTGGCAAACCCTCTCGAAATTCACTTGCTGAGCGAATTGGAGCGAAACATCAAGAGAGAGGAAGCGGGTGGGCTGCCAGGGAAATGTGGAATTCCAGCTCGCCTATTTGCAAAATTAATATACCACTGGCTGAAATTGCCGCGTACAACCAGCTAATAAAATTTGCCAGCTTATTTGATTAACTTGTGCTAGCCTGCTGTTATAGATTGCGCATCACTGAACCCACACACTCTTATGCTAAAAAAATTTAATATATTATAATGCTCAATAATTAAAAATGTTTTTTTCAACTAGTAAGAAAGTTTTATAGTAGTTTAATAAAATGATTGCAATTTTAATTAATATAATATTATTATACAATTACAACTATTTTAAATACCTGAATGTTTAGTGAAGAAAGCCTTTAATTTAAATAAAATATCAGATATGAAATATAAAAATATCTACTTCTGATTTCTATTTCAAAATGAATATTTCTGCGTTTTATTTTGTCTTTATATTTTCTTTCCCAATAAATACACTTCATTTAAAAAAAGATTAACAATAATGTTTTGGATTGCAACGATAATTTATGTGTTATTAATTTATATAATAAAAAATAATCATTCTTCATTCATACTAATTGTTATTGTTATCAAAATTCTGCTGGTCCCTAATTCCCACCCTCAAAACAATTACAAGTGTTCAAGTTACATTAACAAGGTGTATCGGTTTGGGAACGGAATGGCGGAAATGAGTGTGGGGCGAGCAGAATTACCCCCTTACCCAGCAGGACAAATTAATGAGCAGGAGCACCTGTTGGAAAATTCCAATCCCTCTCCGTCGAGGTGGAATTTGCACGATATATAGAACCACTCGTGCTGGAATTTTGCCAATAGATTGCACAATGGACTTGGCGCGTTGAAGAAAGAGAATAAGAGTCTGGAAATAATGACGGGGCAAAAAATGCGCTTGTCGTTATTCCGAGGCGTGTTGTTGGGCCTATGGCCGACTTCTGGGTTACGCTCGTTATGCGTGAAAGAGCATTTTGTGCGAGGGGGAGAAAAGCGTGCGTATTGATCACTCTGCACGTTTCGCGTAGGCTGAGAGACGACTGCGAGCGAGCGTACTGTCTGCACCCTGTTTGTATATTGCCCAAATACATATATTATAGTATCTATTCGTGTTTAATGCACATACACGACGGGAGTATGTTCCGGGGCTGTGTTTCTGCTCGAGATTTTGGCTCATTATAATCAGGCACAAAGCCCCGCTGAAATATTCAACAGCGGCGTATCATGGCGCCGAGAGGTTAACTTTGGGAAGCATTCGCTGCATGCCCTTCAAATTGTCAGCCGCCGCAGAACAAAATAAAAAAATGTGCGTAATTTTGATATATCTCGTGCGAAATTCCTTGATTTGAATGTTCAATTAGCCTAAAATGACATCAAACCAATTAAACATAATATTTGATATGGAAGAAATGAGAGAATGAGAAACTTGCAGGATTATAAATTTAACTAAAGTATAACAATATAAATGACATTAAGACAGCGCGATTTATTAAAACTCCAATTAATATTTTTGACAAGGTGGGAATGGTGGCTTTCCTTGATGGTTTTTGTGCGTTTGTTATAATTAAAAAATCTTACTGTGCAAATAATTTAAGAGCCGGAAATTACTTTGCCATTTCAAAGCAAGTTAAAAAAATTTTTGTCAAATAAATTGGCTACTCAATGAATTTTCTGATATTTTCATTTTAACTACGATTGTTCTCAAAATAAACACGTAAAACAAATTATGTAGAAAATGTATTGTTTCCTTTTGTGATCAAAAACCAATAAACCAACTAATTCATTATTCATTCATCAAGGAAATGCCAAAATAAATTCCCACTTGTTATGTTTAATTGACATTATGGCAAGTTAAATGTTAGTTAATTTGCCTTAAAACAAACTAGTTTCTATTCATTCGTCAGTACATATTCACTATTAATCACACCCCTCCGGTCCTTCCTCTCATGACGTGCTTTATGCAAATATCACACAGCTCATTAATTGCGTTTCATTGACGTGAAACTGCCGAGCCGTCTGCGGAGATTTCGATTGGAAATATGTTATTTCCAGCGGCGTAGCTGTTTACAAAGGACACAAGCCAACCAAATTACCGCTTCGCGCAATCACTGTCATTGCAAAATCGCAAATTATGCACATCTCATTTGCTGCTGCCGACGGCGCCACGATTAAGCTTACAGATCGTTCAATTTTCATTACACGACAATCAAGGACTTAAGTATATTGAAAAATATGATTTTATTGACGACTTTAAATAATAAGAAAAGAAAAAATCGTTGGCAAAATTTGGTTTGATGGTCTTTTGACGATGAATAATATAATAGAGTGCTGCATGTGAATTCTTTAGCTGCACCCCATAAACAAAAGGTTCTTAAGCTGTGGTTTTGCTCTCGGCGGCGTCCCCGCCTGGCGAGGACAATGCCGAGGACCCCAGAATAAATCTCCCCGTTTTTGCTTCAAAGGCAAAAAAACTGAGAGCTGCCGATCTCGCTCGGTAGTCGACTGATGGATGGTGTTTTTTGAGCACCTCGACCGGCGGCAGGCTGGAATCAATTGCAGGGGCCTCGGGACTTTGGCAACGCCGTCTTTGCAGCTCGAACGCCTGACCGGTCAGGTTGTGAAATATTTATGAGCACGAAATAGCGAAACACTGCAAGAGAGATGCTGTGTAATTTGTAATTCTCGACGGCCAACATACACAAACACGGGTGCAAGAAAGAAAATTGACTTTTTCTCGCTGCCCTTTTCAAACGCAGATAAAAATGTCCGTGGCAGCTGATCGGCCACTCCAGCCCTTTTTTAATGTCTCACTTCTTCCCGTGGCCAAAGGGCGGTGGTCCATTCATTTCAAGTGCGGGTCTCTTTATATTTTTTTTTTCAGGCATTATAAATCGACAGCTGAAACACACACATGCATGATTTATGGAGCCACGAGGGCGAATATAAAATAAGAGCAGGCGGCTTTTTGCCCCCGAGTTTATCTATATTCAGCCTGCCCATATTTATTGGCGGACCATGCACCAGCATATTTGCCCGGCAACATTAGTGCCTCGCCAGACGTTCTTTTTATTTTCCTTTGCGCAAAATTTGCCTTCTCGCATTCCCAGAGGAGCAGCGAATGAAAATTGTTCCCAAAGAGTTGGGAATTTATTAGATCTCCGCAAACAAAACGGTCAAAAGTTTTATGGGGCAGCAGACACGTCCAACTAATCCGCTAATAATAATTCCTCCCTACCAACTTAAAGTCACGGAGCGAAATTCCCGCCGAATAATTCAAAACGCACAAAAGAAATCGAGCAGCTTCATAAATTAAATCCGCAGCTTTTGCAGCGGCGACGCCACTATAAGAGGGTGTTGGGCATTGTGTTAAAATTTTTATTAGGTCGCCATTTATCAGAGGGTAAAAAGACGCAGATTAAATCTTGATCACGTTTCAGCCTTTTGTTTCATGCGCGGTCGCGGCGCCCGTTTCCGCAGCGCAGCACCATTTTGCCTCAAGCTCGGGTTTATTCCCTCTACAATAATGCACATTTATTTTATTCTTTCAC